TTTAAATTTTAATTTAGATTTAGATTTGAGGTTTTTATTTTTGTTAAACACTTTGAGAACCTTGTTTCCAATTTTAGGATTTTATTCTATTAGGCTTGTATTTACCTACGCAACTTTCTTATATATAACGGAAAATATTGCTGAAACAATTTTGACAGCTGTTTCTACACAAACCACATAACCCAACATTATGAATTAAGTTATTTTCAATGTCAGTCAAGTCCTCAACGGCTTAATTTTTTTTGCGGGATTTGATTTTTTTGATTTTTTAAAGAGTTAGTTTTTTTCGAAAGTAGGTACTTTAGATAATATTTCCAATTTTCGGGTGTTTTAATAGAATATTTTGTTTATTGCTTATGCTCCACCAATGGCGTCCCTGCAAGTGGTATGCCACTGAAATTTTACCATGTGGATATTTTTTCTGATTATCCAGGTCAATCGTTTTAAAAACGGTATTTTGTAGGTATATTTTTTTCTTTCAATAAAGGATATTTAACATAAATCGCCTGTGTTTACATTAATTCGGACAATACTGTATACAGTATATATAGTATACAATGTGTAGAATAGTATAGTGTATTCCAATTACGTTACGATAGTGCCCGTCCTTATAAGAAGTGACTCCGTCACGTAACTTTCCTATATAAAATACTTAGGAAATTTAAAACTGTTAAAAAACATATTACCACTGTCTGGGTCAAAAAGTACTGTTTTGCGGAAATAATTTAATAACTTTTTATTACGATTACAATTATTATGATTAAATCAAAACAAGAACAAAATCTCATATAGATACAGTACAATACCCTTAACGAAGCAAAAAATTGGTTTACAACTAACAAACTAAAAATAAATGAAAGTAAAACAGAAATACTCACCTTAAACATATCACCAGTACAAAGTGCAAAATTCCTAGGCCTTCATACCCAAACGAATCCGTCTTGGTCTTTGCATATCACTGAAATGACAAAAAAACTCTCTAGATCCATATTCTGTATTAGAAGACTGAAAAAATATCTACCTATGAAACTGCCAAAACAGCATAATTTTAACTTTTCCATATGCTCCTATGGAATACTTGTGGGGTGGAACAACATCCTTATATGAAGTTCTTATTCTTCAAAAAAGAGCTATTCGAGCACTATGTGAACTTAAAAATACAGAAAGTTGTAGAAAGCACTTCGAAAAGGAATAAATACCATTACCAATGTATATATACTTACCTGTGCCTTATATATACACAAAAACAAAGAAAACTACACAAAAAATAGTGACGTACACCAGATGAGCACCCGGAACAGGGAACAGTTACAAATTCCTCATCGCCTGAGCAAAACTCAAAAGTATGTGGACTACTGGGGAGCAAAACTGTACAACAAAATCCCTCAAAGAATAAAAAAGTTCGATCAGAAAAGCCTGAAAAAAAGACTAAAAAACGTACTGCTGAGAAATCCTTTCTACTCCATACAAGAATTCATGAACTGTGATGCGCAAATATTCCTTATTTAACGAGTGTGCGAAGTGCGCAGTATGGAATACAGTGAAGTGGGTTAAAGTAACGAAATACATCAGTAAGTGTTGTAGTAGTACTGATAATTGTGTGTATGTTATTTTTGTATTCATTTATGTAGGTTTGTGTTATTTTTTTTGTTTAGGAAATTGAACAACATTTCTTATTAAAATTGTTTTCATTTAAGTTCACAATTTCCAACAAATACTTTTGTTAGTGGGTCTACAAAAATTACAAAAATTATAGTTGAATTATTGATATAGGATTTTGTAATTAAATATACAAAATGTTTTTATAATTATTAACTACTTATTCAATTAGTTAACAGATTACAGTTGAATGTAAACTTAACATAAAGTTATGTGGACTTGGATTAACATAGAATTCGGTTAAAATTAACAAATATTTGTTTGATAGAGTTTTACGAATATTACTTTTAAAAAGTGATTTGACGGAATTTGTACAATAAATTTTTCTTTGTCCCGTCGAAAAATGCTTTAGCTACGCCATTGATCTTCTGACAAATTTTAATAGAAATAACCCCCACATAATCAGAACCTTTGCTACGCCACTAAGACACTAAACACTGTTTTACACAAATTTCCTGACACTGCAATTTATTTATTTTATAATTCTAAGAATTAATTAAAATTGAAAAAATAATATTTTTGGTTTTACAGATAATATGAACAAAGTAGGTACCTACTTAAAATTGAAATTAAACAAATATTTTACCTTAAAATAACATACAATTAATATACCTACTAAGTTGAGACAATGTGCTTTTTGTTAGACGATAACTCTTTGTATTTTGAGTTAAGGTGCAGAACGGCTTGGTTATCAAACGTGAAAGCTTTATGTTGTTTTGCATTAAACAACTGATTAAGCCCATCAGGTTTTTGTCTTGCTTTATAGGAGACTTAAAACACCCATGATTAATTTTCTTTTGATAATGATGCGATTTTAATAGCGCTTTTTACGTTTGAATATGCTGTTTTAATATCCCACTATTGTCCCATAAATAACGTTTAATAACTCACTTTTCAATCCTATGTATTTAGCATTCGCAAATCAAACAATATTCTTTTTTTTCTTATTATATTTTATTGGGTCTTGGTTCGAGGATTAATTTATTTTACTGCGATCTGACATTCAATGATGAAAAAGGTTTAAACGTTTACGTTATTATCTGAACTCGTCAGTAGAAAATTACTTATTCTAAATTGATTTTTACTAATGATTTATCTACTCGATAATAATCACTACGTACTCTATTTAACTACCTATATAAATGCAATTTAATTATTAATTTATTATTAAATAAATCCATTAATAAGTTGTCCCACTTTTGCTTCTTAAAAAAAACTTTTAAATTTTAAATCTAAATCAAATAAAAACTTTTTCTTCACTCTTAAACAAATTAGTATTAATTATGACTTGTTTTAAGAGAATTGTAAAGCCCTCAATTTTTCACGTCGCTTAATTTTTCCGACGCTAGTAGAAAAAGTTTAAATTTCAAGTTTTATCATTTTAAAAATCCCCTTCGGTTGTTCTTCGTTCATTATAAATGGGCCAATTTAAAATTCATTTATGCTAAAACCTACTTGTATTAAAAAAGTAAAAGTCGATTTTTCTCCGGCACTTTATAAGTTACAACAACTTGTCGACATCAACACGAAACTTTTTCGTTTTAAGTTGATCACTGTTATTATGACACTCGATAAATTATCAACATCCCTTAGCAATTTTTTAAGATTACGCTGATTTATTATTCCAATCTACACAAATGACACTGTAAAAAATGTTAAATTAATATACAAAACGTTCACTATTAAAATAAATGTAACTTTCATAAAATAAAATTGTAAAAACCTATAGGTTTAAATAACAATTGCTTAGATTTCACAATTCCCAATAAAACAATTAACATTTGTAAAATGTAAATAGCATTTACCCAACAAATTATAATATAAGGTTAAATTAAATGTAAATATTCAAGTAGTGGCCATTACGTAAATGTAAATGCAGATGATATTCAGCATTAAGACACCTATTTTGCATTTAAAACAGATTTTTATTACAGTTTTTTGGTACATTCTCAAAAGAACAATAAAATTACCTTTTTAAAACGGTGTTTTAACTTCCAGTCGCTTTATTTGGACGATTTATGACATTTAACAACTGTAACTAACATCAGCCTGTGACTAAAAAGCCCGAAAGCCACTGCACCTAACTTCAGCCCGGTACTAAAACGCCATAAAGTTGTCAATGTGTGGTGTCATGGAAACGTGCAATCAGGTATTTTAGAGGTGGTTAAGTTAGCAATAGGTTTTTAGTCACGGGCTGAAGTTAGCTTTAAGTTAGTTGACAGTTGTTAAATGTCATACAATCGTTAAAATAATAATAATACTAAATGAGTATATTATTTTATTACTACAAAAATACAAAAGAACTAAATAGTTTATTGGCGCCAATATTTAAAAAGTAGTATTGCAGTTAACTAGATTTAACTGAACTGCTTATATATCGCTTGTTAGTCTATTTTCAAGGAATAAATTTTGATTAACACAGAAAAATTTAAAAATTTAACGCCAGTAGATTCCCGAGTTAGAAATTCTAATAGGAATTCCAATAAATACAACTGTCACTTTTTGTACCTTTAACATTTCCCGTTTATGTTTAATACGTTGTGATAATATTTTGCAATTATAGTAATAAAAAAAATCAAAGGATAAAATATGTTGTTAACCTAATCATATTTTAAAGTGTGAATAATAATTATTGTTAAGTTTAATTAAAATAATAAAGGGCAATGTTAATGTTGAAATTTATGTCAAAAATGTTTATTGGGATAGTTACTTGGTTTCGTATAGATGTCGCTTTATACAAATATTTACATTACATTATTTTTTAGATAATATTAAGTATTTGTCGTAGAAAAAGTATAGTATGCAACTTTTCTAGGCACTCATTTAATTAAGCACTCGCTCGCAAGCGAAAATAGCGTTTATAAAACTTGATACATAATAAACTGTGTTTAGACATCTTTAAGACATTTTCATACAGCAAAGAAATAAAAGGTGCGTTGACCGTTGTGATTTTTCGGAAAGTGACTTAAAAACAAATTAAAAAACGATTAAATGGCATTAAAACAGTCGAAAAAACACGATACCCACTATTTTTGTCGATGCAATTAAATTTAGCGAAGCTATCGCTTACGAGAAGATTTTATAACCTTAAAACAAACAATAAACACGTTAACGGTGACATTAAAAAATTATAAAATCGTTTCATTGCCACACATGGCATTTCATTACATCGGACGTTTATTGATTGTAAAATTTAAATAAAAATGTTTCCTTTCGACGATAAATCAAAATTAGTTTTTAATAACATTGCGTTGACAATTTTTTAATTAAAAATGATATATTAGAACATTGCGCACGGTTTAATTAACACACTGTTAACAACATTATATCTTTTTTTTCAGCTACTTTTCCGATGACGAGGCGGATCGGGCATCCCTACCAAAACAGAACGCCTCCTAAGAGGAAGAAGCCCAGGACTTCTTTCACAAGATTACAGATTGCAGAGTTGGAGAAACGGTTTCACAAACAAAAATACCTTGCGTCGGCAGAAAGGGCTGCCCTGGCCAAAACACTCAAAATGACAGATGCTCAAGTCAAAACGTGGTTTCAAAATAGGAGGACGAAATGGAGGTACAGTACGAATTTTTTCTTTCTTATACAGGGTTTCCGGAAATTTTTCATTTTACTCTTCTTTTTTTAAATGTCAAACCAAGCTGCCTTAGAGTTGTTTTCATAACAACAATGTTTTGATACAGTGGTGCTCAACTAAATAAAGACTTTCACTGAAGTCTAACTCAACTGCATTAAAGTTGTGTCCATAACAACAAAATAAAAACAAAGTATAACATAACTAACCCAAGTAGCACGACTTGGTAAATAACTAACATTCTAAGTAAATTAACCAAAGTTTAAGTAAAATAACGGTTTTTTAATCAATTAGTTGTATTCATCCATTAAAATTTTTTAAGGTTACTATGAACTAAAAAATAACCCTTTAAATTTACCAATTGGTTTCTATAACCTTAAGGTTATTTTTAGTATAATTTAATTAATAAAATAACCCTATGGTAGGTAGTTGGTATTATTACTTAAAAGTTAAAAAAAAGTTATTTTAGATGTTACATAACGTTATATTAATCTTTAAAAATGGTTAAGATTAGTTATTTTTTAATCATATTTTGTTTTTTTTTTTAATTTTTGATATTAGGTACTTTCTAGGAAATTAACCACTGCTTTGGTTAATTTGTGTATATATTTTTAACTAACAAGTTATATTTTACCAAATATATTTTAACTTACTGGTAAATTAATAAACTAGTTTTGCATAGAAAAATTAGTCTCAATAAAACTTTATATATAAACCTATAGAATCTATAGTATAGATTGTGAGTTTTGTGTAATAATGGAGGCTAATTTTTTTTCTTCAAATTGCTATATAGAAGAGTTAACAAAGTTGTACATCAATATTTATGTACAAATCTTAAAACAGTCCCCTCACATTTAATTAATTTGGTAAGCATCTATAGGTTTTATCACATAACATATGAGTTTTATCGTATATGTATAATACCATTAGTGGTAAAATTTTACAGATAAAATTTTTGATTTTAATACGAATGTTTTTTTCTTGGAAATTTCTTAAGTTGCATTAATTTTAATGTTTTAAGTTAATGCCACGAGCGAAATTTCCAAGGAAAATTCTTTAGTAAATAAAAATTTTTTCAGGGGAAATTTTATCACGAGTGGTATTCGGCAAGACTATTTTACGAATATTTTTAACTGCTGATTCAAAATCTGTATGATTTTTTTGACCAAAACGTGAAATAATCATAAAAATAATACTAGTATTATTTCTATGCGTTATATTTAAATGAAGCAGGGCTGCAACCACAGACAGTCTGTGGCTGCAACTAAAATCAGAACGTAAAATCGGCGGAATTTTTTCTTAGGTCAGTTTATTAATTTTAATAATTTGTTTTTTTCAAAAATTTAAACAAACCAATAATAAAATATTATATTATTTGATGTTTAATAGTATTTAAAATAAATTTCTTTATACATATGTATTTTTGAAAGGGAATTTAAAGTATAAAAGTATTATGTACTATAGTATACTTCATCAGAAAAAAAAATGTCCCATTGGTTTATCCCTTGGGACTATCTCTTTAAGATATCAATTGATATTTCTATATACATACATATATGAATATTAATATTCGGGACGATTTTAAGGATCTGTAAGTCTTATCTATAAATAAACATAACCATATTTGGTAAATTATAATTATATAGAGTAAAAATGAAGTAGTCAAAAATTACTAATTTAATAGTTATTAGTGGCTGCTTTCTCACTTGGAATACCATGGTATCCCAAAATTTAACAGCCAACTCTTATGTAAAATTGTCATCTGAATCCGAAAATGTCGTCAAAAGTTAATAAAAAGTAGAACAGTTTTTAAGATAAAGTCAATTTTCCATTTAATATGGAATTGACTATAACTCAAAAACTGCTCCACTTTCATAATTTTTGACGGTATTTTTGGATTCAGATTAAATTTTGGGATACCATGGTATTTCATAGTTAACCATGGTACAAGTGAAAAAGCAGCCACTAATAACTATTAAATTAGTCATTTTTGACTAATTCATTTTTAGAGAGTGATTAATTATGGTTTAAGTTGACTTAAGTGTTAAAAAGGGTAAAATAGACCAAAAACTACTACCATCTTTTTAACCAAAAGGTACATTAGCCAAAAAGTTAAATTTTACTAATATATCGTTAATTTTACCATAATTGAATTCCTAACTCATTACAAAATAACGTTAATTACCGGTTAATTTAACGTTGCAGTACAATATAACTTAAATTAACCTGGCATAACGTAAATTTAACGTTTATTAAACCAGTTGTGCTACTTCGGAAATAAAGATAATTATCTTATTATTTTTAAGTATTTGGATTTCGTTTAAATTTTTAATTGGTCTAGAGCGTAAACTACCAATTTGAGGACAAATGTTATTAAGCAAAAAATGTTTGTTTTTATGTTCCTTACCAACCCTGAAAGTTTGTCGGTATATTTTCCGCACACCCTGTATATTTTTATAATAATAAATGTTTAAAAAATTAAAAACTATGAGATTACATTTAAAAACCAGTTTAAGAATCGATCAAGACGATATCTTTTACCAGAATTACCAAATATTTTATTATACTTTAAAATGAAGATTTGCTCGAGTTAAAATTGTTTCGCCGAAAAACAGACACAAACATTTATAACACTGACGGGCAGGCTAAGGGTTGTTAATATTAACTTTTTGATGTAATAAATTTGCAGTACCCGCCTAAGTAATTTGCTCGAAAACAAATTAAACAATTCCGGAAAATTAGCGAGAGAGAATAATGAACGTAACATCGCGCGGCGGTAAAACCATTAACATTATCTAAATAGAGTTCGCTGCTAGGTGCTGATACAGCGAAGCTTTCATTATTAATTAAGGCCCTAATTAAACTACGCGGCACAATAGTAATTAGCACCCTTATTAAAAATAAGCGGAGCAACGTTGCCGAAGCTGAATTCCGCGCCAAGCAAGGCTTCGCCCGATTTTAATTAGCGCGCTCACAATTAATAATTAGCTTACCCCTTTTACGATTATTTAACTATTTAGACAATGGGTTTTTAATTTTTAACATTTTTTAAATTACTTAAGGATAATTTAAAACAGTTTTAAGGATATACAACTTTTTTATGCAGCTCTAGGATTTTTTAAAACAGTTTAGGGACTATTTTGAAACCATTTTAGTTCTTTTTAAAGAGCTCTACACAGTACTCAGTAATTTTAACCAAATATTAATCAGATTTTATGTTAATTCATTATTGTAATTATAAACATTTTGTAAAATTAATAACAAAATCCTGTCAATAATTCAACCATAGGAAATTGGAAATAAGAAATGTTGCTTTATTAATCCATTTTTTAAATAAAAAAATTAACACTTACCTACATAAATGAACACAAAAATAACATACACACAATTAAATAACGCACCATTCTGAAATCATCAAATAATTAAGAAATTTGGTACAATACATTTATCAGTACAACTATAACCCTTACTGATGTATTTCGTAACTTTAACCCACTTCACTGTCTTCCCTAATTTCAGTTTGAAAACCAGTGTTGGCATATTTTTTCGGATACTTCGCACTCTTTAAATAGGTTTAAGGAATACGAATAATAATAATAACAGATTTCTAGTAATATATTGTAAACACTGGACAGTTGTTACGAACACGTTACGAATTAGAATAAAGTAAGCGAAAACATAAGTTGCAGACTCTGAAGTCCAACTGACTTGTTGATGCGTATTGTCAGTGGGAAATGTTTTGATTGACTGCCTAAAATTACGTGTACTTTTTTAACGAAATAATTTGTTAAACATTAACAAAATAAACTGTAACCTTTGAAATTAACAAATGCTTACAAAATTGCATATTACCTTTACAGTATGGTAAAATATTTTCCTTTGTTAAAATAAAAATAATTACAAACCCTGGTTTTCTACAAGAAATTATGTTAAAATTTTACAAAATAAAATTAACAAAACTACAAACCCATGTTAACAAATCTGATTTTTATAACAGTGTATGACATTAAAAACAGTGGTAATGAAGTACAAGTTATATACAGGGTATCTAGATTAACACCATGTACAAAAATTAAAATAATATATCTAAATGAGTAGGACATTCTTTGTATAGGACATATTGAAAAGCTAAGGAGCATTTATGATAATAAATAACAAGTTACTTGCTGATAAATGTACGGTGACCATTAAAATTTGCAAAGGACACCAATTAAAATAAATTTATAGTTTTAAGTGATCAATACCAGCCACTTTAGAAATTCCTTACGGAATTCTTCTTCGAACGTGGAAGATTTAATTTAACAATTCGACTCAATGAATTTAAATATTTTAATGATTTTTTTTATTTTGTTGGGAAAATGTAGATGTTATATTTAATATACAAATTTAGTTTTTACTGTGAGCAATGGACATTTTTTAAACAATTTTATAAAAATTGTAAAGCAGTTTTAAGGCAGTTTTACTATACCTTTATAGTATATTTTAGTCACGAAGCTTGCGAGGGAGATTTTAATAAATATGAGTGTCTATAAAAGTTTATAAACGATTTACATACTATACTTTTTCTTCGAAAAAGGGTGTTAGTTATTATCGGGTTTTAAAATATATAGAAGATATATAGAAGCAGTTTTTCACAATATAATTTTGTATGTAGATAATAAAATAATTTCTACATTTCAGTATTATTTTACAAAATGGGCACTTTATTTAGACGATTGTGTGACATTTTTACAACTGTCAAATAACTTAAAGCTAGCTTTGTGACTAAAAAGCCCGAAAGCTACTGCTGCTAACTTCAGCCCGTGACTAAAGCGCCATAAAGTCACAGCTTGTCAATAATGTGTTTTAAAAGATTACTTAGTGTCATGGAAACATGTACAGTATAAAAACAATTTTCTAAAATTTATTAAATTTTTTCCATGTTTTGGGACATTTAAAAACTTTTAAATTGGACTATTCAAAACCCCCCAAGTAGCACAACTGG